GACAACTTTTGACTTCACAAACTCCAAAGAGGTGCAATCTGCAAAGGCACCTGTTCACGAATCTACACACTTTTTTTGTCCTCCGTGCCATCTCTCAAAATAGACAACTTTTCCSGTGCCATCTTTGCTCCATTCTCTTCTTGACTCATTGAAGTAACATTATGAATAAATTTGGGCTCAAAACTCTTTGTTGGTTCTTGTGCATTAACAGGCTTTTGAAGGTGCAGTGTGAAAGCCTCTTGAATCTTCCTTGCCTTTCTTGTAATAATTGCTCCTTTGATATATGTAATTAGTCACAAATGGATTCGTATCAACAAGTTCATGGCCTCGTGGGCAATGGCCGACGCAGTTACGTCACTACTGGGTGTCGAGGCTCCGGGAGCAAAAGGCCGGGGGTCGACAGACCAGTCTTGGTAGAGATGAGTGACGAGGCTCCAGGTACAAAGGGTCGTGGGTCGGCATGATGAGTCTATTTGATGATGAGTATTGGGTCTAGACGTGGTGGCGATCAAGGACCAATACGCTAAGTAGTCGTCGGGGCTTAGAGGATAAATGTCAAGGGCCGATGCACAATTTAAGGCCTTAGGGATAAATGGCAAGGTCAAACACTAAGTTTCCGTAGAGAAGTGTCGGGGTCTTGGGGATAAATGTCAAAGGCCGATACGACTCGAGGAGTTAGACTTGGAGGACTAACATGGAGTGGTGGTTATGAGCAACAGTTCAAGACCTTGGGGATAAATGGCAAGGTCGAACGCCAAGCTTCTGTAGAGGGATGTCGGTGCCTTGGGGATAAATGTCAAGAGCCGATACGCCTCGAAGAGTTATACTTGGAGTACTAACCCAGGGTGTAGAGCGAGTAGTAAGTCGAGGGAGTTAGAGGCTAGTGGGCCGTGTGATCGAAGCCACGAGAGTCCTAACGTTTGGATGTTTGTGTGGAAATGTTAATTTACTGTTATTATTTCTCGATGTTTTATTCCCTAGTTATTGTGTTTGATGTCGCTGTGATTACGAGCATGCTGTTTGGTGAATAGTTAGTGAGAGCTACTTAAGGAGTATTTTATATACTCACCCTCCCTCTACCTTAATTGTTTCAGGTGTAAATAGGGCCCTCTATCGGGGTGATGACGTGGATAAGGCTTGACCGAGGAGGGATCACTAGCTACATTTTTGTCTAAGATAGCTAAATTGTAGCTTGATTGCTAGGAGCGTTAAAGATTTATTGTTAGTGGTGTACTAGATATTGGTTCGATTCATGGAACGTTTTTTTTATTCCTTCTTTTTGGATTTTTTTGTTATTTTTATTATTTGAGTCTCTAGTGTATTTTGGGTTGCTGGACCAAATGATTGTTCCTTTTTTCTTATTCTTTAGGAATTGGTTGTGGTATAAACCCCACGGTTGTTCTTAAAATAATTGCTTCATGTCTTTTTGTCGGAGAGGGGCTGAACAGGGGAGGTGATAGCATTAGCTCAATATTTCATGTCAAAATTTCGGGGACATTACATTTTATGTTTCCCTTAATGGAAAGGGGTGAATAGGTAAAATGGTAACGTTACCTCGTTCTTCGTAGTGAAATTCAGGGGCGTTACAATAATTGGGATTATGATAAGACTGTTTTGCGAACCTCGGAAGAATCAAACACCTTGCATAGAAGAACGTCTATGGTGATCGATTTAAGGTAGGAGAACCGCAAAATGCGGGCACTTACACGTCAACGCCATGGGTATGGAGAGATAGTACAACCTCGTACACCCATGCCTGGAAAGAAGCAGTCATATTAGCTTCGCCCATGAAATATACTCTTTATGAAACGTATGTACAGTCGTCATAATGACAAATATGTTACTTGAAATGTGAGAGGGAACCCCAATAAACTATACTTCACCTTGTACTTTCTATTCCCAGTTACCTTGGACTTGTAGAGCGCAACCTTGTCTTTCATTGCACTCTGCAGGCCACTTAGTGTCCTATTCCATATAATTGTCCCCTAAATCTATGTGGCTAAAGTGGTCAAGGTCATCGATGTCCCCATAGGGGTCGTCATTAACGTTAGATTTCACCTTGTACTTTTTCACCATCATGCCAAATTCAGTGCAGTATACCAACGTCACCTTCGCAGCGTCCTCGTTGTTGTCGAAGAAAGTGTCCTTGTATAATTGTTCGAAGTCCTAAAGAGATAAGTCAACCTTATCCAAGAAGTATCAGCTGTGGAGCCTTTTCTTTGAGACCTTCTTCTGAAAGACCCTACCAGATGGTCGCCACAATTGAGTCATTGACAGAAACTCGGCCTTCGATACTGTAATAGTCGTGCCCCCGATACTGAAGCACATTGAATCTATCAGGGCGTCAATAACCTTCCTAAGCAGAAAGTAATGGACAAGGGGACTGTAGAACATCATGTCCAGATCCACAAATCGCCCAAATATTGTTTCTTTCATGAACATATCCAACTGTTCAGGAGTAAGCTTCTGTTTGATATGCTTGTTTACATTGCTGAGGTGACACAAGCTAGTAACAAGACCTAGAAATCTATCTTTCTGGCTAATCTTAAATGCGTGAGTCATTTTAGTCATGCAACCAAAACAAATATGGCACCAGCGTCTCAGTGTAAAAACAAACAATAGAAGACAGAAGAATACAATGAAGAAGGAATAATATAAAAGGGGTAAAGAAAGAAACGATCATTTGTGAAAAATCGCATTCTGTAAATTCTCTCGCTTTGTTCTCTCATGACCTCTCGCTCTCACTCTCTCCTGATCTCTCATGTAGCAGAAATTGCCAACCGCAAGTATACGAGTCAGGTTATAATAAAGTGGCAAGCCAATGCCTATATCATCCTCAAGATTGGGTTTCTAGATTACTCAATTAYCCCAAACACTTTTGCCCAATTTTATTTAGAAAATCAAATTGAATGTTGGAATATGATTAAAGCAATAACATAAACTATTAAACAATGTCAAATTAATGGGAAGAAAAGTCTTAGGGAATAGATTTCACTCATTAAATCTATGGACTAATTATTTAATTAATCTAGATTGAACAGATTATCAATTCTATAGGCCAAGAACTCTCAAATCTCAACTGCCTCTCCCGAGCGCAAGCCAGTCTCCTTACTAAATTACTTAATTACTAAACCAATATCTCTATCTAGTTTTGTAACAAGCAAAGGCTTTAACGAAGAAGTCTCTTAACGACCTCTAAAGGAACTCTAAATCTCCCGATCTTAAAACTCATTCATTTATGAATCTCAGTTCTAAACACTCAACCACCTCTGTCGAGCGTAAGATTGCAAGTCTAAAAAGATCAATTAATCTGTGGCCGGTAGATTAAAAGCATGAAGCAAAGAGAAACATAAATAGAATAATCAAATGCATTTAATCAAGAAAATCGGACAATCAATTTATAGATATAAATGGCTACATCAATCCCTAAGACAAGGGAATTTAGCTACTCATGTTCATCATGAAACTATCAGAATAAAAAAAAAAGAGATAGATTGTGAATCCGACTTGTTGATTGATCCTCCCCGACTCAATCTCCATGATCAATCTTCAAGACCCGGCTTTTTCCTCGTAATATGCTCCAATTTTCCCTTGTTGGATCCCCCATTTCAATTGATCATGGGGTCTTATTTATAGAAATTTTCCGGACACCATTGAGACACTAAAGACAGCGTCTAAATGTTGTGACCTAAATCCTGGTGGAAATAAAATATGGCATCGCAGCGTCAAGACGCTATAAAGAGCATTGAAACACTACGATGTGAAATGTCAACTATTTCGCTTTTCATCGTAGCGTTGAGACGCTCTGATGTAGCATCTCAACGTTACCCTTGCTGGTCACATAGCTGGGCTTCATCATTTGAGCATTGAGACGCTCTGGTAACATCTCAATGCTACTCCCCTCGGGTCTTCTAGCTCCAAATTATGTTGTTGTTCCTTTTCAACTTGCTCCGACTAGGACTTTTCACTCTATTTGATCAAGTTGATGTCCTGATTCTTCTTGATACTTTACTTCAACAAAATAACATTTATGCCTGTAAATTTATCATAAAGAAATGGAAACTAACAATTAATTCCATTATAATTATTTTAAAATATGGCCTGACTTAGAGGCTATCAACTCCCCCGAACTTAACTTTTTGCTTGTCCTCAAGCAAATATAGCAATCTAATATTAAACAATCAAGGATTAACCTGGGTGCACATTCTACATCTAATTCATTATACCAATTCCCTTTTCTATTCCCTTCTCATCTTCCCAATATCCAAAAATACAAGTAAAGTTAATAATGTATCCATGAGATGAATCAAAATGGCAATCAATAAATAAGCAATGATAAGATATAATTTGTAAAAGAACTCAAGAATCTCATCAATTTCTTAAAATCTAGTGCAAAGGACCTGACACCCTCACAGAAATTCACTCCACACTCTCAATATGAATTTATGGTTCTTTTTACTCTCAAAATCAGACATAACATGTTATTACTATAGGGCTTGCAAATGAATAAAATTTTCCCACTTTTAGATAAATAAAATGCAAAAATCAAAGGGACTTTAATAACGGTTGTAATGGGGCCTTAGGTGAAGGTGAGATAAGAGGAAATTTATAAGCTCAATAATCAAGACAGCATAGATATTAAATTGCATAATAACATAAAGTACATCATATTCTAACATCTTGAAGTGTCCACCCATATCTTCGGGTAATAATTTGGAGTTTTAAAATTGATTGCCTTTCTTTTGAAACAATACTCTCCAAATTACTTCTTTGTATAAACTGCAATTTTAGAGCATAATTCCTCAAATGATAATAATTTTTTTTCAATGCTCATCACCACACCTCATTTTGATACTCTTCAACACAAAACTTAGCTTGCATAACAATAAGAGTTAATGTATTACCATGCAAGATTTTCTCCTTTGTCTCGCTCATAGGGAAACATTTAGGATAAAACAATAAAAATGCCTTATGGTTTCAAAATGATGTGCTAAACAAAAAATAGGAAATTAGACTCAAAGTTGGCTTACTATAGGAAAATATATGAAAGGTGAGCTTTTTAGAAGTCAAACATAAAGTAAGCCTAAATTTCCCTTATCACGTTGAAGCATCTATCCAAATAAGTGGTCAGAAAATGTATTCACAAGCAAGTTCTAGAATAATCATGCTAAGATAAGTGGTCAGAAAATGTGTTCACAAGTCTAGGGAGGGGTAGTCCCTTTCTGAGGGGCTGCTGGAGGAACTGCAGGGACTACCCCTCCCTGGGGAGCTGCTGGAGGAACGAGGGGATCTAATACATTCTCATTTCCAGGATTTGTTTTAACGCTTGCACGAACTCTCGAACTTCGACGGTGAGGCATTATCTAAAACGAAAAGAATACTAGAATCACACCAAGTTGTTATCACCTTAAGCTAATGCGAATTCTTCGTCGAAGGTATCAACCCAATACCACCATATAGAAAAGAAGCACAAAATTAAGAAAATCTATCTAGTTAACTAAGGGAGCATCCTATGCCTAACTAATCAATCATAGCAATTCATAAAACAACACATGTTAATCATAAGCAAATAAAGTCAATATAAGAAAATAAGAAGTTCATAAATCAACCAACCATAAGGTAACAAGTCCACGTACATGGTGATGGAGAGGAGACCAAGAAAAACTATAACACTAAATGACTGGTAAGAGTTGTCGATGCCCTCCAAAATAATTACTGATTTTACTAAATTTAACTTGTAGAATTAGCAAGACCAGGTCAAATCCCAAGGGAACCAATGAAATTAATCTCTCAAAGTTAAAAAATGGGCGGTTTTGTAATTAAATTTTGAAATTTAAAAAGATAAACTAAAAGGAAAACGAAAGTCAATCTTACCAAACTTCCAATCCAAAGGTGTGATTTTCATCCAATTGTAATCTTGATCATAGGCTTTACACAAAATTGGTATCTTGATTCAAGAACTTAGTCTACTTACTCGAAACAGCCGTGGTGAGTTTTAATTCTCCTAATTTACTTAATTTAGACCAAGCATCAAAATTAAATCTTATTAATTAATTAACTGGGCACGATAGCGTTCTATATTAATCAAAGAATAACATTAAGGATAATGAGAATGACTAAACCAAAATTTATTAATTTGAGATAGCTGCAAGTTAATTAATTTTGTCCCTTTATTTCCCTAGAGTCTATTATGCCAACTATGTAAACATGGAAAAGTCATAATACACACACAAAGCCAACCCCTTACTACTTATTTCAATCATTCATGACAATTACGGATCACAAACTCATGGATAGTAGTAGAATAATTAATATGAATTAAGGCGTCAATTTAATTAATATAAACTGTTCATAAATAATAAGAACAAGAAACAAAGAATACTTGAAAAAAGAAGAA